ATTAAAGAATGAATGTTGACAATGCTAACGTTTCAAATGACCCGCACCTCATGGGAGTTCAATTAAGGATTAAAACAATTATTTTTATTAATAAACACTAGCATCTCACAAACCACTTAGAGAGTTTAACGGTTTAAAAATTGGCACCCAAGGTAATCATATTAATGATATGATTTAATAATAGTATTTTATTCATTGGAAATACATTTATTTTTCCACAACACTTTGGTTATTACCATGATTTGGAAATATATCCAAAACACTACATTGGTATTTGGTTTCTTTAGGTGTCTCCGGTTCATTTAAATACTACCTACTTTCCGAAAAGGTTCGCCATATTGAATTTTCTTGGTCAATGATGACAAACTTTGGATGGCTGCCATATTAATCTCTATGATGTTTATATGTCATAATTTTGTGACACAAAAGTGACTTGTTAACGGTGACACTAAATTTAGCGTCACTAGCCCCACTTTTCTGTGACACTTTCAGAGTGTCACTAAATCGTTTAGTGACACTAATTTATTGTCACTATAAGCCATTTTTTACTAGTGAAAGTTGATTGGTATTAGTCAAGAAAAGTCAATCTAACAAACCTTTACGGGACGGATGAAGTAGTTTTTCCCATAGCCAAATTAAATTAGCTTATTTAGATTACAGTTTATGTGGTGCAAAGTAAACAGTTAAGGACCAATTGATCATCTATTTGTAGGTTTAATTAACAAGCTACTTCTCATGTCATGTTCTTTATGTATTGCTTCTCACGAGGTTTTAACTAATTAAGGGGCATTGCTTTTATGTAATTAACCGACCCTTACTTTAACCATCAAATATCTATATATATTAATCACTTACTTGTAACTCTATTTGTACCATTGTTTTAATTTAGTGCAATAAGCTCTCTGACTTTTAAAAGTTTAAAGGCATTATTAGTATCACTAGCCACCAAATTGTCAATATTGTGTATTTTGTACTGTGCAATATGCTCTCCACCTCTTATTTTAGTTATTTTTGAAAAAGTTGTTAATTATAAGAATAATCAATAAATAAAATTAGAAGTGATTTAATTTAATGATTTGAAGTTGGAGTGGTTGACAAACATACACTTAAACAAATTAAATCTTTATACTAAAAATCATGGTCTTCCCAGCCTTGTTGCACAGGTACGTAGCTAGCCGGCGGCCAGTTGTTGTAACGAGATGGTTTTGTATCTGACTTGGTTGAAACTTTGGCTAATTGATTCTGAGAGCTTGAGTAGCCCAATAGATCATGGAACAAGAGGGTTCTCCATATAATTGATAGGACACACATTTTTTTGGATGACCTTACATCACTTGAGTATCCTTAACACTACTTCACACTTTTAGCTTAAATTAAAGGTGCTAAAGTTTAGCATAAGTATTTATTTGAAAAGCACAAATTTAGCGTTTTCAAATAAAAAAACGTAAAAGTGTTTGTTAGAAACAATATCAAACACCATTTAAGAAAATGTTGTTTACTACTCTTTATATTGATGACATTGTGACTACCACCCATATATGTGGTAGGTGCAATTGAAGCACTTCATTAAGAAAAAAACAATACAATTAAAGTATTTAATCAAGGCAAGTCCAACTTCAATAATGACACCATGCAATCAATTTCATTCAAAATGTCCTGATTTTACCCTAATAGGCCTTCGATTACTTATAGATGTATATGTGTGTGCACATATTGATTTATTATGAACGACATATATGAATCGTCACCAATCACCACCGCCACCTACAGTCAATTTAATACCTATCAGATACAATATTTTATTATATTACATATGCATATTAGAGAGGAATATTAACCCATTTCATTAGCATTAATGTTGATAATATCCTAAAACATAATCCATTTTTGCACTTGAATCTTAATTACTACATATTTGGAGCTATTAGATTCAAGTTTCAAAATGACATGATGTTCTAGACTCACTATAAACCTCGCAATTCACCTCACCCTTTCGTAGACTCTTTACAATGTTGATATTATATTCTTATAAGTCATAATGAGAGCAATCATTACCCCATTTTTTGGCAAAGAAGCATCTCATATGTCTTTTTAACAACTCTTAATATGGAAGAAATTATGTATATATATTTAGTACAATTTCAAACAACTCAATTAAAATGCCCATTAACATTTCATTATGTCACCATATTAAAAAAGCATTGGGCATTTTCCTCTTGCACAACGCGCATAATAAAACTAGTATTTATTATATATATAAGACACCTAGGGCTACCAGATTGGTAAGTCATTCCATTGTTCTCACACCAGACATTTACCAGACCATACCAGACCAATTCAGACCAGATCAGACAAACTTAAACAATCCAAACAAGACTACCAAATTTCAGTCCAAACGAAAACATCGTAGTAAGACCGCTCTTCACTAAAAAGGTGATCATAGTTTCAATATTTCAGGAAATAGGAGAATTAAGTCCAACCGTAGCCTCCTCGACAAGATCATCCCTGAGGCCCAGGAGGATATGGAACACGAGGAGGACGCTACGGCCGACAAGGCCATGGGAGTGGATGTTTTCCAGGAGGCCATCGACCTCACGAACTATCTTCGCCATCAACTCAACGGCAGTGCCCCCGACGCTCGCATCGGCCTGGACAAGAAGCGCCAGGACAAGGGCGACAATGCCTCGGGGCAACCGGCTTCTCCTGCCGTTGACCCCCAGCTCCAAGCCGCGCTCTCAACCATCATCGCCAGCTTGGCCCCGAACCCCACCGTCGTTAATGCACTCATGCCAAGGACGGGGGAGAACACGACCCCGCCTCCTCAACCCCAGTCGTTGGCCGTCAAGCTAGGCAACGATGAAGGGGTGATGTGTGACACCGCACCCAAATGTCCTAGAAATTTAAATTTAATTTCAAAGCTTATGTATTGAATTTCCCTATTTTCGAACGATTGTAAAACGATTAAAGTTTTACGGAACGTATGATTTATCATATTACTATTTGGGCTCATATAATGATAATGGACTCCTAAATAATTAATTGGGCCATATTATTGATATTGGGACCCAACATCCTTAAATAAAGATATACAACCCCTCGGTACAATGTAAGTGCGGTCGGGCAACCCAAATGTTATTTTGAGCCTAACCTGCTAAAAATAGTAATTTGTCAAGAATGACGTCCTAGGACCATTGGAGGGTGATCCACACGGTTGGTAGCCCAGATACATAAATATTAATATCATAATTGAATGATAGAATGATTGGAGAAGAATACAAATGCCTCTGTTCCCATCTTTGGCATTATTAGGCTAAATAATGGGAGTAAGGTTTTCTTTTGTAATTATACATCAAATAAATTATTGGGACCACCCTACACATATTAGAGACCAATAATATGATGTAGAAGGTTGACTTGATCTAAATAAATTGGGGAGAGTACAAAAGTACATCTTATGACAAAGAACAAAAATGATAGGACCCATCTTTCCACTTTTGGATGTATTGGTTGATATTTTGCTCCCAAATTAATTGGGGGACATGAGAGTACGCCTCACACCTTCCTAGAACCTGCAAAACAGGTAGAATAAGTTATAACACATAAATGGGGTGGACCTATTGAGTTGAGAGCTCAAACAATACAAAAGAGAAATAAAAGAGGAGGACCATCCCATGTTTGATTGGAATCAAACACCCAACCTTTTATTTTTGGGAGCCACACGTTTAGATAACGTTTTGAGAGCTTCCAAATACCTTACCCTCACCCCTCATTCGAACTCAAAAGATAAAGGGGAAGAGAAGAGCCGCACAAAACCAAAGAAAGCAAGAGAAAGGAAAACTGTCCGCAGGGTACAAATCCAGTGCGTTGTCCTTCTTGTTCGACTCATATCTTGGGTTTCACTCATCTAATTAAAGCATGTGAGGTTCTGTCTGAACGCACTCGAGAAGAGGAACCCATAGGCGTGCGGTGTGAAGGAAACGGAGCAGTTTAAGGCCTCCAAAGCGTCCGAACACAACGAAACCTTGCAGAATACGTTTGTGGTATTCAAAGTAAGTTTGAATCCAAAACCTTCCTTTCTATTGCCTAAATCCTATGAATGATTGAAGAACTATTATACACCGGTTTAAGTGTATAAAATGTTATTATAGAGTAACTTTAATTGTTGGAAATATTAGATACTAACCTAGACAAAACCTTGAAAGGTTAGGGAACGAATTCGCCGGAAAACACCCGTTCTAGGGACTGTTTTCGTGTTGACGTTTAGGGGTTGAGATAGCAATGTGAGGAGGCTGCTTAACACTCATATTTAAGCAAGGAATCAGTTGTTAATCCACCTTGGCCGAAGCTTTGACCATTGGATCAAGAAGGAGAAATTTAAAGCTCATTTAAGGTGAGGATTGACATCTAGTTGCTTACAACTTGTAGGTTAAGCATGAGATTACCTAAATGCCTAAATCATGTTTTTGATGGATTATAATGACTGATTATTGATGAAATATTGATATACTAGATAAGGAATGAAATTGCAAATGATTTGAATCATATTGATAAAAATGAAGTAAAACGAACTATTGTGTGAAATAGGCATTTTTACTCATGTGTGAATTGTGTAGATACATAAATGAATATTTGTGTATTACATTTGATGATTAAGTTGCTGCTACATATTTCTAAATATGTAGGGATATACAAATGAAATATATGATTGATGGGAATAATCTTAATAGTATTGGAATACTATTGAATGATTGTTTGTAATTGTTAAGGAATTGAATCTAAGGATTTGATTGTAAGTGATGTACTTGATTGTGGTTCAAGTGACTAAATTGATGTAATGTGATGCTAATATCATGATGAGTCAGTCCGTAAGGATGTCCCGAAATAGATTATTGATATTACAATTCTAGGCATAGCGAGTGCTTAGGAATTGGGGTCTGTGCCAATGCAAGGAGATGTACTTGAGCCCGATGCTCTAGAATTGCATTTTCATTAAGGCGAAGAAGATATTAAGGCCCGAAGTGGCGGCTAAGCATTTTCATTCATGAATCAGAAGTACAAAGTGGGGGCACAACGGCCTTTACATATACAGGCACTACGGTCGTGACATATCAACAAAAAATAAAGTAGAGAAGAGATCAGGCGTCTTCTTCGGCGACATCCTGAACTGATGTACCAGCGGCCTCATCGGACTTGGAGTTGGCAGTATCTACGAAAATATCATCATCGCCCCAATCCTCCTTACCGATGTCGGAACTGAGGATAGGATCTTGCCTCTCCTCCACAGGGAGCTTGACGTCGTCCTCCAGGTCCCACATCTTCGGGGGCAGTTTCAGCTTGGCGGCGAAGCTTTTCATCAGCTTGAGCTCAGTAAACCGCCTGTGGAGCCTACGATAGATCAGCCGTTGCATCCGCTATTGACCCATGTCGTAATAAACCAACATCTCCCTCTGGAAGTATTCCTGACCGGCAGGACAATTCTGGCCCTAGTCTTCTAGCTGGGCCACCACCACCTCACAACACCAGGGCCGACGTTCTTCCGCTTTCCAGCCGTCGGCCAAGAATTTGTCAATGGCAGCATCAGCGGCCTCCTCAGCAGTCTTCTCAGCCTCAGCTCTGGCCTTCTCGGCCTCTTCAGCACGACGCAAGGCTTCTTCACGACCCTTCAACGCCTCATCTTTTTCCTTCAGGGCGTCATCCCTATCGGCCGCCACTTGGTGATAGGCCGCATCAGCCTCATCGACCCTTTTCTTCATGGCCGCCACCTCCTCCCAGAGCCGGTCCAAGCAGCCCATGGCCTCCTCGGCCGAAGCAGCCTTCTGCTCGATCTCCTTTAGCCGGGTAATCTCCCGCTGCTGCCTCTGATGGCTCTCCATCAGCATGAAGGCACCCTGCAAAAACACAAATTGTCAGATGATGATGACACATTCAAGGAAGGCAAACAAAAAAAACGACAAAGTATGAAAGGAACTCCTACTTGGACGACGAGGTCCATTTCGCCGTCATAAATCCTGACGTCGCCAAGCGTATCTAGATAGACCTGATCCTCGGCAGGGAGGGCTTGGGAGATAACGTCGTGACTGTCAACAACCTCGTTGAAGACGCCCCCCTTCACTGTGTACTCGATCTCCATCTTGTAAGTCCCGGTGACCAACTCCCTATCAGCCCTCTTCTTCCGGGGGTTTTGGACGATGGGAAGAGGCTGAGAAACAGCAGCAGATGAAGGACCCGAGGTGAGGTCCATAAAAGTAGCAATACTGGAACCCCCGCCGTCCTCAACCAGAATAGTCAGAATCCCGGCGTCGGCCTCGGGAGGGGAGGAAGCCTTCTTCGACTTCTTGTAAGGATGCATGCCAGCCTCGGTCAGCTCTTTCTGACCATCATCCACCGACCGCTTCTTCTTCGGCTGTGTGGGCGATTTCTTCAGCACGTCAGAGCTCGGCTGCGCTCCACTCACAACGGCCAACTTTGCGGCCTCCTTGGCAGCCATCCCTGCCTTAGCTTTCGCCTTGGGTAGGGCCATGACGGATCTATAGTTCATCACAAAATCTGCATAACACAAAAAAAAGTTAGCAAAGAGAGGAAACAAAACGAAGACAAGGGCGCTGAGGAGGGCATTACCATCAGCTTCGGCGGGCACGCCCAAATCCGAGCCATCGGCCTCCTCAAAAGTGGTGGTCATCCTCGGCCATATCTCAACGTCGTCGTCCTTATCCCCGTACACAAAATACCTCATGAAGCCGAGGGCGGTTATTTTGTACTTCGTGATATAGTCCTTTACGCTCCTCGGTCCTCTCTTCAAGAATGCCGCCACCTGAGCATCCAAAATGCTACTCTACGGCACATAATGGAGGTTGAATCTCCCACTATGGCCGACGGAAGGAAACTCGGAGCCACCCTCGCCTAGGGACACAAAAACAAACTTACTTTTCCAGCCATGAATGGATGAAGGAAGATCGGTGACGGACCTCCTGTTCTTTAACTGCTGGAGGGTAGCGTAACAGGCATTCTTCGACTTCTTGTAAGGATGCATGCCAGCCTCGGTCAACTCTTTCTGACCATCATCCACCGACCGCTTCTTCTTCGGCTGTGTGGGCGATTTCTTCAGCACGTCAGAGCTCGGCTGCGCTCCACTCACAGCGGCCAACTTTGCGGCCTCCTTGGCAGCCATCCCTGCCTTAGCTTTCGCCTTGGCTAGGGCCATGACGGATCTATAGTTCATCACAAAATCTGCATAACACAAAAAAAAGTTAGCAAAGAGAGGAAACAAAACGAAGACAAGGGCGCTGAGGAGGGCATTACCATCAGCTTCGGCGGGCACGCCCAAATCCGAGCCATCGGCCTCCTCAAAAGTGGTGGTCATCCTCGGCCATATCTCAACGTCGTCGTCCTTATCCCCGTACACAAAATACCTCATGAAGCCGAGGGCGGTTATTTTGTACTTCGTGATATAGTCCTTTACGCTCCTCGGTCCTCTCTTCAAGAATGCCGCCACCTGAGCATCCAAAATGCTACTCTACGGCACATAATGGAGGTTGAATCTCCCACTATGGCCGACGGAAGGAAACTCGGAGCCACCCTCGCCTAGGGACACAAAAACAAACTTACTTTTCCAGCCATGAATGGATGAAGGAAGATCGGTGAAGGACCTCCTGTTCTTTAACTGCTGGAGGGTAGCGTAACAGGCACAATTCTTGTGGCCCCCTCGGCCTATCTGGTACAAATTCATGAACAGGGCTGTTGTCGGCCTGAAGTCTAACTCAGCGCAATGGAGAAGGAAGCCGACGATAAGCGAATAGCTGTTAGGGGTGAGCAAAGCCGGAGGAAGACCCACCATATTCAGGTACTCCGTAACGAATGGATGAAGCGGGAACCGGAGTCCTTTAGCAAAACTCATGGGGTATACCCCGAAATACCTGGACGGAGGTTTAAGCACGTGATCCATCGGCCTGGGCGCCCTAACCCTTCCATACGGCCCCACGTACATCTAGGCAACCAAGTAATCGACCGCGTTACTCTGCGGCTTGATAAGATAGATGTTGGTGAGGTCCAGGTAGGAGAAACCTAGACCCTTCTTCGGCCGGTGCCTTCTCTTCGGGGCGGTCCCTTTAACAGCAGAAACCGGCTTTGGGCAGGGAATTGTGGCCGAAGTAGACGCTCCATCCATGGCGCGGGAAACTCCTACGTCCTCACCCTCAGACAACGAGGTGGCCTCTTCGTCTTCACCCTCATCGTCCTCCTGCTCCCCCGACTTGAAAGAACTCAAGTCCTCAATCTCCTCGCAACACTCCTCAACCACCCGATAATCAAGGGACTTGGCGGAAACTTCATCATCATACGGATAGTACTCCTCGTCCAACGCCTTCATGATAACAACTACGAGGGTCCTAAAGGGAGTTGCTTAAGAATTAAAGTGGTTTGCTGCCTAACACTAAATCAAGACCTAAGGAAGCAAAGTATGCAAGGAATCGGAGAAAAGTTTGATGAACTGACCTTTGAAGTTTTGAAGAACGGAAGAACGCTCGAAGCAAGCTTTATCTCTCTAGAAATTTGGGTAGCACTTCGTTCTTTGAGAATGCAATAGGGAGCTTCTTCGGATAGAGGGAGGTATTTATAGATCTCCCCCCAACGGTCACTACAAGTGGCACTCCCCCATTAGCCACACGAACGGCCACCACTCCCAAGGCCCATTGGGCTTCCACCGGTTCAGAAGATGGGTCTATCCCACTTCCATCAGTACCAGTCCATCGCTAACGTGCCAGTAATCTGCGTCCATAACGGTCAATCATTCAACGGCCACACCAAGAAGAAATATCCGCCTCCACAGGGCACTATACCATCGGCCCTAATAGCCAATAATGATCTCAACGGCTGGTCACACCACAAAGTACCCTGATGATAACTTCTTGAGAGCGACCTGCGTCCAAGGGTTCTCCCACAGGGTTACCTTGGTCAGGAATCACCAAGGGGTTGGACTCAGGGAAATACAAGGATCCCGCTTCAGCCTAGGGTTACACCTTACTCCTTCACCACTCCCTTACTCTTCGGCTTAAAGCAGTGGGGGACTGGGGGACTACACCGGCCTCTTGAATGCAAGAGAGGACAAAATCAAATAAATCCAAAAATATACCAAGTCCACAACTACAACGACATTACGACATATATGCTCCCAGAACCGGACTTCTCACTTGATTATTTCTACATATTTTGTACTCACCCCAACAGTGGCCCAATTGTAAACGGGCCTCCCAAGCCCAAGACTTGAGAGCCCAGCCCTAATTTCCTCTATAAATACTCCCCTTGGGGGTAGTTATAGAGGGTTCACAAATCATTTATTGCAAAGAGTTATTGCACTTTTCTCTCTAGCTCTCACTTTTCTGTAGGTGTTAATACTCCATCAGTATGAATAGTAATATTAATCCTTTTAAACTAATCTAAAGCATTACAAAACACGTGTACTAGCATTTAATGTACTTCACAATTATTATCATTATAAATAGCCTGTTTTGAATAGTTGAAAGGTTTGAATATTCATTTATTATATAGCTCTCTCTGTAATATTCTCTCCATTCTCTGTATAATATCATGTACTAGAAAATTCATTGTACATCTATCACTACTAGTGTGGCAAAAGGGAAAATAATTTTGTTAGTATTATTCTTACATACAGAAATCTGTTTTGGTGAGCTTGGAAAATATACTCGTGGTTGAGGGATAACGTTGGATGTGGGAAAGCCTTTGAAAAGATGCATCAAGTCACGAAAGAAGGGAAATGATAGGGTTTGGGTTGCACGATGGTCTACGGCTATGGAGCGAGAGCGATTAGTGAAAGGGGAAGATATGTGAAAGTGGTTTGTGCCGAAGAGAGGCAGGCTGTTGGTGTTGTGAGGGGTGTTCATGATGAGTTGAAACAGGCCATGCATGGTGGTGAGGGAAATTTAATTACTATGGAGACTAGGAATGAAAGAGTGTATTCATTTGTGGCAACAAGAAGGTGAAGAGGAGGAGTTTGGACAAAGAGGGTATTCATTTCTATTTATCCACTCAAAACAAAATCATTTTTTTCTTGGTTGATAGAAACATAAATCATTAAAAGTTCAGTTTGTGCTCCTCGTGGGATCAATTTGCAATGTGAATATATTGATGTGAGAAGAGAGCATATGATTATTAGTGAGTAAAACAGAAATGAATAAAGAGGGATGAAGAGAATGGACATGTCACGATACGGTACAAAGTACAAACAAGTCATCAAGAAAAGTAGAGAGAACTTTTGAACAAAATTATTTTAGATTATAGTCATCAAAGCATACTTAGTATGTATTTCACAAAATTTCTTACATTTCCTTTAAACAAAATCAGACGTACTTATTTATAATTTTGACGTGGAAATAGTGAAGTACATGGGTAAGTGACGGATCGAAAATAATAAAGTATTTATCCTAAATAGGACTAAAATATTAAAAAAGTTCCAAAGTGGGAGTTATATCTCATTTATTCCCTAAATAGGAGTATTCTAAATAGCCTACCTATTATACCCTTTCCGTATTTTCTCTGCATTTTCTCTTTCCCTTTGGATCTGTTACGCAACCTCTCTCTTCTCTCCCTTTGAATCTACTACCCACCGAACAATCCTTCTCATTTTTTCTTTTCTCGCCACTATCTTTTCCCTTCTCCATCCATTTTTTCAGTTTTTGGTCTCACATCATTCTCATCCCTCATCTTTCTCTCTTATACACTGCCAATCGACTAACAAAGTGCCAATCTTTTGCTCCGGCAGCAGCGCCGTGACTCCGGCGTTGTGTTACGCCTCCGGTGATATGGTGGGAATCCGGTTACGTGGTGGCACTAGTAGAAAACTGGCTTACAGTGACACTTTTATAGTGACACTTTCTTATATATTGCTACTAATAACACAAAAGTGTCACAATTTTCTAAGAGTATCAAGTAGTGACACTTACATTTTTTTTACTATACGGAGCATTTTCTACTAGTGAAACTAA